GTTGTTGTTTTCTCAAAAGCGAACAAGAGACTCCGTCTCATGCTGTGTGTGTAGCTGGGCTTAGATTCATCCCTCCATCTGTCATAACTGCTAATCCGTTCCTAGGTCACCAGGGCTCTGGAGCCCTTCCCGGGAAGCACGGGGCCGGAGGCGGGGGCCCCCGGGAAGGGATGGCAGTATCTCTCGGCTACGCGCCATCGCGCTCATCTTTAGCCTGTGGGACTACCTGGAGGATACACACGCTACACGGAGAGAGCACGCAAACTGCACACATGCAGTAGATTATATTTGTAAATGATACGTCATTCAGATGATTTGTTCTATTGTACAGTGCGGTCATGAGATGCCCCATTTACCCGCATTTGTACAGCCTAGCACTGCATATAGCTTTTCCAACATCCTGATCCCCCTCTTCCCGCCGCTTCTAAAGGAACGTCCTGCCGGATAAATCCCACTCCGTTACTCAATCCACCCCCTATACAGCTTCACAATGAAGACGGGCTGTGATTGGGCCTTTACCCCAGGGGCAGGCTTCGCAATTTATGAGAATGAAAAAAACCTTTATTTGCCATTCGTACAAATACAGGTACACTGAAATTCTTCTCCTTGCCTGCGCCTCCTCACCCTCCATAGCTTGAGGAACATAACACAAGGTCAGCCAACATGCAGTGGTCCAGGATTTGGGGGTTAAGGGTCTCACTCTAGGGCTCACAGATGTTCTACCAGGGTCAGGGCTTGAAATGGCAATCATCTGATCTTATGCACAGAGTCTTAGCCGCTCATCCATGTCAGAGGTCTTTACCTCTGAGTAATTATGCAGAAGCACCACATTCACTGTTTTCCGATCCATTTCTATTTCTATTAATATCATATTATTTAAAGCCACAAGTGATTTACTCTGCACTTTGATTTACAATTCAGATTTTTTTCCCCCATGGTGCCTTGCATGCATTTGTAACCCTCTAGCATTCATCATTAGGAGCTCTAACTGAAAGTAGCGGTATTTACTAATGTTATAGAGTTCTGGCAAAATGACAGGCATTCATCAGCAATCCAAACACGGATAATCCCACAGGGCACAAGGCCGGGGTTCCCCATGGATGGGATGCCAGTCCTTCACAGGGCACATACACTCGGGGCAATTTAAAGATGCCAGTGAGCCTTAACAAACACTTAGACAATCTTTTTCATTAGCTTATCTGACATAGATTTCCAGATGGTTTCCCTTGTAAAATATGCCCAAATGACAGATGCAACATATGAAATAATTAGGATACAATCCCCTGTGTTGCACGTGATTTACACGACATCCATCCCACGCTGGTAAACCCACCTCTGCAGCTACCTTCCAAGCTGGAAGATGGAGCTGCTTTTTTCTGACAAAACCTCATAAATAATAATTTGGGTCCCAGACGTTTTTGTGATTCCCTTCAGTCCCTGTGACAGGCATCTGGAAACACTGGGTCAACTTTCAAGCTCAGAAATGCCGTCTTCAAAACAATAGGTCTAAGAAGCTTCCCTGGAAATGCGAATGGCCAGACCCAGAGGACTAAACATGAGAAGGGAGTTAGCGTTAGCAAGCCATGTTGCTGAGAGAAATCTCCCCTCCATCTAAACCCCAGGATCTCTCTTCAGCAGACTCTCCCCTCCATCTAAACCCCAGGATCTCTCTTCAGCAGACTCTCCCCTCCATCTAAACCCCAGGATCCCTCTTCAACAGACTCTCCCCCCATCTTAGCACTTAGCTTTTACCTGATACTGTCTCAGGCTCTCACTACAGTTTCATCCTGATCAGTGTATGTGTCACGTTTCTCCACCACACAGGATTTTCTCTGTAAGCTCACAGTTTCCTAGGAGTTTCATTAAAACTAGCAGCGTCTGGACTCACCCCCAGTTTCGCCTTTGGTTTTTGGGTGTTGCCGCATCAGGGGCGGATTTTAATGTCACTTTCCCTGTGTAAGATTCCAGGCGCAGTTCCAGTTAGCACTTGCTAACATGACACGGCTCGCAATAATTTGCATCAATACGTCAAATCAGACACAGTGATTCACCTTAATAAATTCCCTTACTACAAAGAAACTAAGCACTACTTACACAGAAGCAATGTGATCCCAAACCTTCAAGTAAACCAATTCAGACATCTGTGTAACTCTACAAGAAGCTATTCAGTAATGTAATTTTGGGTAGGTGAGTTTCGTTGTATTATACCAGAGGCTGTTTCTTATATAGAGCACTATATCCTCAGATTTGCATCAAATTACCAACTAAAACCATTAAATGAGACATAAACTCAATGCTGCCCTGAAAAATAAGTACAAATTGAAAAAAATTAATCGGATTCCAAGCATCATATCAAACAATACATCCATCCATCGTACAGCCTCTTAAAAGGGTAATGGGGGGGGGCTGTCCGGCGTAGGGCTCCCCCATGGCCCTGCTCAGGATAAGTGCTTAGAAGATGGATGGATGAATGGAAATCACATGATGCCAATGAATGGATATGATTTTTGTATATATATCCTCTCTGCCTGCTGCTTTGTGGCTGTAATTTCTCTATGCTTTTCATACTTTTGTAGTAAGGCACAAGATCATCAAAAACTTAACTCAGCTTAAATATAGACTCATGTATATTCACAGCATTTTTTTACATAATATGTATAGCTGGGCATCTGTGGTCACCGATCCCTTGAGTTTATAGCTTAATGAATGCAGGAGTGCGAACAGTCCTTTCTGGAGTTAGGCCGTCTCTGTGGCCTGGAGACACAGTACCACCTGAGACATCAGCGGAACACAGAAACAAATATGTCTGACAGAGGAACATGTTTCCAACCACTCAGTGCTTTTGCGCCCATTTGCAGCAGTTTGGACAACACTCCAGTATAATACCCCTACTCTGTGCACCATTTCCATACTTTTGTCAATTATTATCACCAGTTTGGTCACATTCACCAGCACTGCTGAGAGCTCCAGGTTTGAATCTGGGCTTTTGTCCCTTTAGGTTGGTAATCACTGGACATTTAACATCATCTTGTTTGAATGTTCATTACTCAAGAACTTCCTGATCCCTGGTGCCCACTCAGGAATTTTGATCCAGGTCACAGATAATAATCCAGCCAACGGGGCTTCGTCCAGGGGCCTCGCAGGTACCCCAGCAAGCCTTGGCACCTTCTGGGAAGGCAGCGTTTGTTTTTCCATTGTTCCTCCCAGCTTGAGGATTCGGGTTTCCAGCACTGAGGACCCCTTGACTTCCATGGCATTGATCTTAGTCCTGAGCTGCTTCCATCCCCAGTAGAACCTAAATGGAATTTCCAGTCTCCGAACGGTGTAATCAGTCTGTTTATATGGCCTTGTCATGACCAAGTATATCCTATAGGGGCTGAAATTGCCCTCTAATTGCATCATTTTGAATGAACTGTTGTCACACGCCTGTCGATCTTTTCGTAGAAAAGACTCACAGCGCAACGTAGTGTTTGCGTGACATCAGCTCCGTGAGCTGAGCCCTGTCATTCTATTTCATCAGCTATTGGGACAGCTGCAGTTTAGGTTCATGTGTAGCAAGACAATCAACCCCGAGGGTCAAAGGTCATCCCTTTAGTCTAGCTGTCTAGAATCTAGTCTACCTGCAACTTCAAGATTTTTTTCAGAGGTTTCAGGTGAGTGCTCCGACAGTGTGGCTGTCAGCTACGAATGTACGTTAATCAGTCAGATTGGACCGTCTTTGTTGTAAATACATACAGGCAGTTGTACTGATGATGAATTAACCACTTTCTTCTATGTGAACAGAGGCCTTGGTTAATGAACCAGGCCTTTAACAGAAGGTTCTACACTCAAGCTGGACTGAGCCAGGTCTAATTTTTCAGGTGGATGTGTTTTTCTGCATACGGTGTCATGCGGAACCTCTAATTAAAAGCAGTATTGTGTCAGGAATTAATTGTATACAGACAAATACTGAAATTTCCATCTGTAATGGCTAAAATGATCCTGACATGAAAAATAACATCAGTATTCAGTTGCTGGAAATAGAAAATTAATTTGAGGAAGATTAGTGCACCCATGGTGCACTCTCTGTTGCACTTGTGTCAGCCTGGAGCACCATGGCAACTGTGCTCAGTCAAATTGGGCAGATGAGAGTGTTTATTATTTATTCTGGGGAGAGAGAAGAAATAATTCTACACAGGGTTTAAATATAGATGGAGATTCTTATGTCCAAATCGCACCTCTCCAGTGCCCAGCTCCATCTCCTTATGTCCAAATCGCACCTCTCCAGTGCCCAGCTCCNCTCCTTATGTCCAAATCGCACCTCTCCAGTGCCCAGCTCCGCCTCCTTATGTCCAAATCACACCTCTCTAGAGCGCAGCTTTGTCACCTTGTGTCCAAATTGTGCCTTGCCATAAGTGTAGCTCCGCCTCTTTATGTCCAAATTGTGCCTTGCCAGAAGTGTAGCTCCGCCTCCTTATGTCCAAATTGTACCTTTCCAAAGCGCAGCTCCGCCTCCATTTTTTTGTTAATGTCCTAAAATTTTGCAAAACATTGAAGGGTTCAATAAAAGGTTTTGCGCTAAATAATCATGTGTTTTCTTCACCATTTAATGTTAATTTCACAATGCCTTGAATTCTGTCAGGAGTTTTAATATTTTGAGTTGTTTTGTTTATGATACTGCTGCCAAAATTTCACTTACTAGCGAGACCCTGCTAGAATTAAGACGTGTAAGAAGCAATCTGTGAATAGCATGATATTTTAATGCATTTTCACAGGGACATTAGAAATTAAGAAGCAAGTGTAGTGATACGCTGTTTTGATGCATTTTTAAGTTTTATTGCATGTAATGCTTAACCACAGTTAACTTTTTGTGTACTCTATTGTTAAGATTGTGATCATAAATACATATGATTAATATGTTAATGTACAGGGCAACTTATTCAGGATACATGCCCCTCCCCCCCCCCCAAATCAGCTCTTCAGTTATGAATTTTGACCGTATATAAGAAAAGTTGTTGAAACAAAACTGTTGAAACAAAACAGTTGAAACAAAACAGGGGACCGATTTCCACTCTTTGATGCTGGTCTGCGATAAGCATCCTTTTTAAATATGGAGAGGCCTTGAGGGCCAGTCTGGTCGTCATTCAGTAATATCTCCTGCCTGCTTGTTGAGCTGTCAACAAAAAGAGAGACCTAAAACCTTACAGCTGGACTCTCAGACGGGCTCTGAGACCCTTTGGTCCTCTCTGTGCTTTTTGTGTCAGGTGGTTTGCGCTTGGCCCCATGACTCTAGAACGCTCGTCAATGCCCACTCTGCGGGGTCACTCACTTGAACAATGGGACCCCGGCTGAATGCCCAAGCGGCCAATAGGAAATGCCTTCTTGTTGAAAGCAGAGGTTATTGCCTCAGGCCTGCACCATCCCCATGGTATCCGCCAGCTGTAATAGCAGAAACTCCCAGGTTGGCTGTTTGTTTGTCGGTGAATGGCAGGGAGGTTCTGATAGAAGATTAGGAAACAGATCCCTCTGTCAGCCACCCCCCCCCCCCCCCCATCTCACCAAACTATTTTTCCTTGTGTTCTTTGCCACGATTTAAGCTATGAGTGATTCTGACCGTAGCAAAACACATTAAAGTCCAAATTCCTTCGTTATTACTCAGTCTGTCATACTGAATGGGTGGTCACCTGACTGAACCCACATGGATCGAGGGCCGGTTTGGTATATTCCACAGTCACAAGTGCTTGTGTAAAAAATGATCTGAATAAGAATTAAGAACATACAATATAATGACTCCTGGAAAAAGGTGTGCTAAAAATAACCTGAAGCGGTTTGCTTTAAAAAGAGAGTTATGCCACTAGAATTTGTGGGAGCTTCAATTTTCCGGCTTTTATGTTAACATGAGAAATAGCATTTCTCAAGAATCGCTGACGACAGCAAAACTTTAGCCAATCGCAATTACATGTCGCACCCAGCAGCAAAATGCTAACACGGTAGCCGTGAACCAGGGAGGCGCAGAGCTGTGGAGGTGAGGTGTCTGCAGCTAGGAATGCGAGGAGGGAGCCAGACATACTGCGCGCGCAGGAGCGCAGGAGCCGCTGCCAGAAAGCTCCACTATCCAAGTCAGAGAGGAGTCTTCTGGAGCTCAGTCACTACTGGTGCATGCTGGGAAATTGGGCCAGAGGGTGGGGCTATGTGCTGTTTGACAGATACACACTGTTTCAGCCTGGAAGAAGGCTTATCAGTTTGACATAATCAGCCTGCTTGGGCAGTCAAGTGGACAAACAGGCATGTGAATTTCAGTTAGCCTGACCTCATTGTGCATCAGCCCTCGAACCAAGTGAGTCTTCTGAGCTCATGGCTGCCAAACTTCTGCTTCATCTCTGGAGTACTTGAACTGGCTTATTCTGGGTAACTGATGCATGTTTCAGCACCTGTGTCCTTGCAGTTTTGTGATACCTGCAGTGGCACGATGGTGTTCTCTATGTAAAGCAGCTTGTAATTCTCCTCAGTGACCAGTGGGGATGTTTCCGCCCAGAGAGTTGCTGCGTCTAGCCTGTAAACATGGCCCTTTCTCTCCTCTGATGCTCAGTGCACCCTTGTTTTTCCCAGACTGAAGCTGTGAAGATGGTGCTCAAAGAAATGAACCTGAACATCGTGGAAATAGATGACGAGTCGGCCACCTTGGATGGAATGGATGTCTTATTCACTGGTACGAAAAGGCACCGTTTGGGGGGGGGAGTTATGATGATTCCAAGGGCCCCTGACTAACAATATGATACATTTTCATGGGGCTCAAAATCTCTAGCGGTGCCCCTGCTGGTACAGACAGATTTATCTGCATCCCTTTTATGAGAAACACCCAACATCTGTCAACATTTTTTTCTGTTCATCAGCCAGCTGTTCCCCAGCTTGGTGCCATAATTAGTAATTAATCTGTGCCATAGTTAATTCTGTTACAAATTCTGCAGGGCGTGTCCAGGTTTTTTGGTTCTGACACCCACCAGTGACATCTAACCCGTTGACCATATCTACCCGCTCAGGCAGAGAGTTCTTTGTGGGCTTGTCTGAGAGGACCAATCAGCGGGGGGCGGAAATTCTCGCGGACACGTTCAAGGTGGGGTGAGATTCTGCGTCTCTGCGAAAGGCTCTTGGTGTGAAATCAAACATGGGATTCTGCAGCACAAAGAGTTTTCCCTCCCTCTGAACCCTGACCAGGTGATTGCATCAAACAGTCTAGTTGCATACTCATTTATTCCCATGGTATCTCATATACATTCAGGATGGTTACAGGCCACTCACTGAGGCCACCTCTTGTTACCATCAAAAAAAGTGTCGAGGACTTGAACTCACAGACCTGGTCATGAAGTCAGGAAAGAAGATTCTTCTAGAAGAATCTTCAGGAACGTCCTTGCAGAGCTCATTACACATTGACATAGTCTTCTTAAGTGCCTTCGTTTAGTCTCAACTGTCTGCTCAGAGACAGCGCCCATTTCCTACCTGCCGGACTCGTGTTTTGCAGGACTACGCTGTCTCTGTGGTTCCCGTGCAGAACGGCCGGCACCTGAAGAGCTTCTGCAGCATGGGAGGACCGGACCTGATCATCATTGGGTCCAGCGAGCAGGCCCAGCGAGCCCTGAAGGTACAACAACGTCTCTTGGCCTTTTCTGAGATTCATGGTTCTGGGTCTGGTCCTCTTGGAAGAGCCTGAAAGTCAGCATCTTGATCTGAAGCTGAGTTTTCCAACCTGCTTCATACAGCTTCTAATACAGTACTCCAGGTTCCTCCCATAATCCAATAAGTGAAATTGATTCTCCAAATTGCCTTTATGGTGTGATGTACATATGAGTTGGAATCGATTGGTATCCTGTCCTGCTCCTGGCCTTGTGCTGCATGGGATGGACTCCAGGGCCACCGCAGCCCTGTGTTGGATAAGCAGTTATGAAAAATGGACAAGGACAAGTCAGGTTGAGTTGGTTTCTTTTTCACTATTACTGAAGACAAAGCATCAGACCATGGTGACCAGATTAGCGTTATTCCTTTGTGAACGTGGTTTCTTTCCTTTTGTGGTTCCTGATATCCCAGCTCACACTTCTACTCTACATCTTCCTTCAAGTAGTTTGCCTTGAGAATCCAGGCCAGTAACTGCAGCTGACAGGAATCACCCCTGAAGGCGGCACACTGACAACAGGCCACATATCACTGTTATTAAACCCCCACACCAAATTAGGTTTGGCGGTAAACAGCTATGACTTTTCTATGGACTCCGTGCCTTTTATTTTGTTTTTATTTCCAACTAAATTTATTATTTGCCTGGGGAAACTAACACCTTGCTTTATTGTGTTGTGGAATCCAGCACTGGGAATTATGGGAATTTATTCATCTATTTTTCCACTAAGAATTCCACCTCCCTCACACAGGCCAAGAGCATCTGGAGATGAATCACAGCTGTGTAATTTGAATAATTTAAGAGATCAACTATCCTGTATCAAAATCAATATGGCTGTGATGTCACTTAATGGTTTACTGTGCAATATGCATCCTGAATAATGTGTATCTCATTACAAGTCTAGTAAAAAACTGAAAAAATGATAAAATAGAGGACTTGCAATTGATTTTCAGTATGGCGAGATTAACTGCAGTATCTGTGCAACTAATTATGCAAATGTGTGCCAATTTAAGTTTGTAATTAGGTTTTACGTCCTGTTAGATACTATTTGAAAACTTATCCAATCCAAAACATCCAATAATTTCCAGGAGCTGCTAATTAGAAATGGTGCCTTGTACAAGAGACACACCATATATAAGAGTCACCGCTACATCAGACACCAGTCATCACTGGCAGAGGCGGACATTTCAGGTCCAGGAAGTAAAAATCCAAACCAGGATTTTGTTTCAACCAATCAGTTGAGTATAAAGAGTCACAGTCACAGAGTGCTCAAGTGGTTGGTTGAAATAAAATCCTGGTTTGGATTTTTACTTCCTGGACCTGAAATGTCCGCCTCTGATCACAGGACACACAGGGAACAGGAAACACAACCATAACAGGAGACACAGGCTGTGTTTGAATACAGGGGCTGCATCCTTCTAAGGTTGCATTTGACGACTGAATGAGTCACAGTGACGCCCCAAGGCTGTCCCATTTCAAAGGCTCCTTCAAATGCAGCCCAGAAATGCATCCCTCTTTTCCTGCTCTTCGAAGAATCACCTGATGGATTCTTCGCAGCCCAACATATCCCAAGATTCATTGCATAGAAGTAAAGTGGGTGTATGCTGGGTAGTCAATAGGAGAGGCGCTTTGTGGCCCAAGGTCGACAGCGGGAACAGCTGGTGACATAAATAGGAAATTTACCGCAGGCCAGACCGTCCCATTTGATGCTTTCTGTACGACCTTTGAAGAACGCAGCTTACAAAGGCTACACCTACATAGATCATGTCCTATGAAGGATGTAGCCTCTGAATTCAGACACAGCCAAAGTAGAGGCACCTTTGGGGCTCCCTGAATTGCTTGGGGGGTAATCTGGAATCCCCTGAAGTAAGAGCTGGTGCTGGGTTTCAGGCACCAGTTCAACCAGTTGGATCACCATGTTAAAGACAGCTCATTTAGACAGTGACAAATAATGTCATACACTCCAAGCTGCTGTCCATTCCTGAAAAGAACACACCCACTTGACATCTGGTCCCTTCCCAACCCCCCCGCCCACCCCCCACCCGCCATGTGGTTCCATCCCCTCGCTGATGTAATGTCACCAGTGCGCAACTCTTCGACCACCACGTCACCTCCAGGTTTGGTCCATCTTCGGTGCTGCCATTACGATGACGATGACATCATAACTAAGTTAGTATCAGGTTCCGGCTGTGAGGTCATCCCCTCCAAATAAACCCGGAGCTCAGCTGTGGTTCCCCTGACTCAGGCTACAGGACTGAGAATGAGAGTGACCTCTCCCGCTAAATATAACTCATTTTATTCAAAGAACATATCCCAGAGTCTTCTGTAAATATAGCAGTGAGTAACTCATACTCCTACGCATTTTACGGAAAATCATGTATGACCTAACAAAGCAGTAAAAGCTAACAATGACATAAGGAAAGTTAACAGTAGTCCAGATAAAAGCAAAACTAAACCATGTGAACCATCATTTTCCCCCAAATGATTAATTGGCCCTATTGTTTAAACATTTCTTGCCTTTCCAGGATAACAGCTGGAATCCTGACCAGACAGTCTAAGATAGAATCTTACCATAACTCTGGCTGACAGACCGTTTGGTATTTCAGATGAAACACAGGTCCAAGGACCCCAGAACATTTCAATTGTTTAAGATATTACACAAACGCCGAATATCTTCAGGATGTCATGAAGACCACGTTTATTATGGCATGTGAAATTATAGGAAGGTCAGGAGATACTGGTTGGGGTGGTGGCTCGTCCTAACTGTCCAAGCCGTCCCCTGCAGATCATGAAGCAGATGAGTGACCATCGCTATGACAAGTTGACGGTTCCTGACGACGCGGCAGCCAACTGCATCTACGTGCACCTCCCTGACAAGGGTCACACGCTACTGCACTGCACGCCGGAGGAGTTCCCCGAGAGTGCAAAAGTATGAACCCCCAGCTCGCCTCATCACCCACGCGATCCAGCATGGCGTAAATGTGGTACCCTCAGATCTAACTGCCCCTGCTGATCATTTGACACAAGTCCAAAATAACAATATTCTTTCTGCTGTTCTTCTTCCAGTCTCAGATGCTAATTAGTATTTTTTGCCTTCAGCACAGACATGTAAAGTGATGTAAAGCTGAGACTTGTTTGAATTCTTGAATTATTATCAAATAAATATGAGTACTTTGATTAAAAAAAATCTATAATGCAGTACTCTTTGAGATTGTTCCAAAACAATTTAACATGTATGCCCTTGAATTAGAAGACATTAGCTTTTGTCAAGAGCACAGCATGTCAGTGGATCAAAACAGATGCCCTGAGGAATACTTTAGGCTTCTGAATTAGGTCTTAATCTCTGGATTGGGCTGTAATGAGCTGATAATACAGCCTAACTATGTGTTAATGAGTTATCAAGCTGTCCTTCCCGAAATGTTCTCTTTGGCATCACTTCAGGTTATTTTTATGTGGCGCTTAAAGACTTTGCAGCAGGATCGCACATGCATTTTAAACAAACTAGGAACTGCACGACAGAAGGACAACAGCGGTTTAACGTTATACACTTCGGCAGTTCGGCAAACATTAACAATTAAACGATAATAAATTAATTACGGAAGCTATCAAAAACATTTACAGACAGGGCTGGACTGGGATTAAAAACCGGCCCTGGTCTTTGCTGCTTTTTTTGCACAGAGATTTGAGATTGTTCCATCGGTCCACTGGGAAAACACAGAATAACCAGATGTTTACAGGGGCTATAGATACTTAGAGGCCAGCTGTCGTTTTATTAGGCTAGTGAACTGCTTCACACATTCATATTATTTCAATTATGTACAATTTTAGTTGTTCCCCCTCCCTGACCTCTGTTACCCCCCCCAGATATATTTCCGCAAGCATCGCGGGGGCTTTTGTCACAGTGATTCATGCTCGCAGGCTCTCATGGCCTTTAACCATATTAGGAACTACGTGAACTACGTGGGCTGTTCTCAGATCAGATTTATTCTCTTTGAGGAGATCTCCAAACACAGGCCCTGAATGACAAACTGTTTGTCCTTTGATGCCCTGGTGCTCTCTTAAATGGTCGAGCAAGACTGGGGTAAAGAAAACGCCGCTCACATGATAGCTGGATAGAAGCCTGATGCATGATGCCTAATGCCCTGCAATGGGTCGGCACCTTGGCCCATTTTATAAGTATATAAAATAGTTGGATGGATGGATGGATGGATGGATGGAAGGAAGGATGAATGATGACTCCTGGAGACTGTTAAACTTAATGTGCAGAGAAAAAATATATTTACAGTTCAAATGAAAGGATATATATTGAAATGTATCATGAAATACATGTTGGTGGAACAAGAAATGAACATTTTTTACAGTTGAAGACAATGGAGCGTTACAATGATCTAAAACAAGATGTTTAGAATGAAGTGCAGAAAAGCAAAGATGTAATCAGTTTACAGGACCATCCAGTTCTTGGTTTGAATCTGACACACGATTCCCTAATCATTTATTGACGTGTGTGTTGACGTCCGTCCGCGTTAATTCACAAGCAGCAAGCACACAAAATAGTGTATTTTTTTCGACTAGGGAGGACAGAAAGCTCCTAGCACCCACATTTCGACACAAAAACAACAACAAAATGATTCTTTTCATTTCCATGGCCTGCCTTTCCAGCTGCTCTGCTTATTAAATCCTGCACCCCAAACCCAGTACTATTCAGTACATCTGTTACATAATAGTCCCACTTTTCGTTTATAGAGTTTAAAGAGTTCCTTGCATTCCTGTCTCCTGGCATTTGTTTGCTGTCCTTTTGAATGCAATTAGCTTACAAAAAGACAAACTTAACTCCTGTTTTAAGAATTCATCTGGAAGTGCATGTAGCCATAGAATCTTTTAAAATTAAAACTATAATAAGACAATTTATTTTATAAACGTTACAGTGAAGTCTTTAGACAGTTGTCGCTGAAGGCATCCAGCCTCTTCTTGTGACTAACATGCAATTACCGCCAAAACAGGGCTTACATCATGTATGGGGAATCTGCTCCATTCCTGTGCACAATGATTTCTTGGAGGAGTTTAAGGAAAACCACGGCATCTCAGACAGGCGTCACAAATTACACATCATTTTTAAAATTTGTTTACGTAATAACGCTTTTGCTTAAGGAATTAAATTGATGTTATATTAATGATTTCTTTTAAAGCGGAAGGCTTAGCCAGCAAATATAGACATGTCATCATTGCATAATTACCGTGCGCCGTTTTAATGCTGTCCAAATGTGGTTTGTGGAGCTTTGCAGCAATGTCTGGATGCCAACCAACAAAATAAGGACGCTGCCGTTTTTTTTTGCCGTTTTTTCCAGGTCTTTGAAAGACTGAAGGACTATTTGCTCATTCCCGTCTCCAATGCCGAAAAGGTGAAGGTGGATGGCGCTCTTACCTGTTGCTCTGTACTCATCCACAAGAAGGTGTGAGCCAGGCTCTTCAAAACCGTGTCCCCCAGGGTGCTCTTGATGTGCTTAAGGCTGTGTGATCAAGGTGTGTGCGATCGAGAGGAAGGTGAAAGTTTGAGTCTCTGTCGTAACAATTGATGTTTATAGCACTCCCTGATAATTTGGAAACCCGCGTAGAGTACCTACAGTTAGTTTAGTATTGTAGTTGTTGCGGTATATTCCCTACAAAAATAAACATTTTCGAATAGTGTCGATTTCTAATATCGTTCGATATTCACACAATTAATGATGGAGCCCAAACTTCCTTCTCACCAGCACTTTTCGTTTTGTTAAAACCTGTATTTTCAGTTTGCATGCATATGCTGAATATTCGTTTTTATTCAGATTAGTTTTCACTTTCTGCCATCATAGACCTATAAGGAGTATTACTGAACCATAGCCATGTATTTTTTACCATGGGATTTGGTGCTGATGATTTTATTTGGCACTGGCGAGTAGAAATCAAAGTTTTCAGTTTGCCGTCATAAAAAGTCAGAAAGTGAACACTACGAATGTTCTCGTGAGCCTAACAAAGTCTTCATTGTTCAAAACGCCTTTTGATATGAAACCAGGTGTATTTATTCTCTTTTAAATGACCCCGTGAGTTTAAAAATGTGAAGTGCAAGGCCATAAAACGACTGTTTAAAGACCATTGAATATTCTGTGGAAATTTCAGGACGGCAGATGGTGAGGTTTGTTCGCAGAGGATCAGGTTATTACCCTGGCTTACCGTCCTGTTAGCGTAGCCTGCTCGCTAACAATTGAAGCTTTTTAAAAAGCTCTAAAATTACAAAAGGCCTACTTTATCTGCGTTTTTCTGTATTATACTCATCTAAAACCTTATTAGCCTTATAAACACCTGTTCAAACTGCAACTGGTTCAGGATTTAAGGAGAAACAAACTCACAAAATCACAAAAAAAAGAACAATAGGGACCCAGCACCCCCGGTGCTTGGACTCCCACAAATGGGAATTTTATGTTGTAACCTATTTGTATTACACTGAAAGTTTCTTTGAACAACTATGATATGTGCCCGTATGTGTATTGTTGGTGGAAAAAAAGGACTGTAAATCCTGTATAATGTGACCATACTAAAACAGTCATTATAGATTCTTTTAGTATTTCTGCTGTATAGATAGTTCTGTTTCACTTAGACCTACTTGTTGTGCCAAAGACATTGTAATATGTACGTTTGTCTAATGTTTGTCTAAATGGTTTTAATAGATTTTAATAAAATATGTGCCTCGTCTCAAATTTGTTTTCTTGCTTGACGAGTTATTTTGTTGTGAATTGACTTCACAATACTGACTGGCTGATGTTCAATGCAGTATATACACATAGCCAAAATCCGTAACCCGGTGTAAATAGTAAATTTAGAACTACAGCGCCATCTAATGGCCAATGTTTATACTGTCCGTTATAAGTCGATCGTTCGTCTATCTTCTAACCGCCTATCCTGGTCAGGGTGTGGTGAGCAGGGGCGTTGCTAGAGATTTTGGGCCCCATGAAAGCATATCATATTAGGCCCCCCAGTCCAAACCAATCCAGTTATTTTCCTAATTTTTTAGGGCCCCTGTCACTCATGGGCCCTTGGAATCGTCCTAGCTTTCCTCCCCCTTACGGCGCCCCTGGTGGTGAGACACAAGGCAGGGGTACACGCTGTATCACGGGTGCTGGTAGAGATTTTGGGCCCCCCAACCAATCCAATTATGTCTGAAAATGTTTAGGGTCCCTTTACGGCGCCTCTGCCCTGACAGGCATTACAGGGCACGTGCACTTTTGACATACTAGAGACGCCATTTAACTGCATGCGTTTGAATATGCCGTTAGAAACGCCCCTAAATGCTGAATTATTATACAATAAATTTTAAATCCCACTTGAGCCTGCGTTTAATAATTGTTCGTATGTCCTAAACAATATCATTCAGTATACACAATATAAGCCAAATCCAAAAACAACGCTCCTTGCAACATGACATGCGTAAATTGAATCACCAGTGCAGTGCTACAACGATGAGTAATTTAATTAAAACCCTAAAAGCACGCTGAAGTGCGCTGACAGCTTGCTGCGCAAACTTTACATTGCAGTACTGCGATACAAACTTGGCTGCGTGTCAGATGCACGGCAGTGTCCCAAAGCGCCAGCTGGCAGCTGGTCAGTAAATATAGCTGCGAGCGGCATAATGGACACTGATGGCTGATAAAGAGCTACTGATACGCCTGCGTTCAGAGTAAACAATTGTGTCAAACAATGCGAAACAGCCCGGACCGATCTGCTGCTTAAATGTCTATATAAAGCTAGTACTTTGCGTATCTTTGCTTGTCAGCCGACCTTTTTGTGGGAATATTTTATTCAGATAATTAACAGCAGGGGCGCTGTAATGTACGGGGTTATTATTTTAAATCTATACAGTAAAATATCTTCATATAGTAAGTGTAATAGTTGGTCTATCACATGGTATTGAGGTTTCTAACAGACGTATGACACTGGCAAGATCAACTGCTGTCAACTCGGCAGAACATGCATTATGTCTATTAAAGGTGGCAACTTCAGCCTCTGGAGTTTCCTCCCGTCCCGTATTGAAAAATGATACACGGTGTCCCCTTTTGAACCAACAGACCTAAGGGACGCCATCTAACCTATATTTTCGTGTCTGAAGCGCAAAAATAATTTAACCTGGACCGCACAACCCCTCCCCCGGTCGACAGCTACATCATTGTAGAAAATAGAAGAGGGCCACCGACAGCTCAAATAACACAGGTGATTCTGACTATGTTAATGTGCCTCTGATTAACAGGTAACTTTATTTAGTAGCTTATGTTTACATTTAAAGTGTCTTAAAACATAATGGTTTAAATGTCTGGATATTTCGCTGTAGGAGCTCAGGTTAAACGCTCTTCAGTAGCTCTATACAGCAGGGAATATCCGGGGAACTGAACAATCAACCCCCCCGGGTTACAAGTATTTCGTCGTAACAACAGCACCACCTGCTGCCCGACAGCGGCATTGCTTACTGGTAACAGGTAATGAAGAATCGCGGGGATTTTTTAAAAAGCAATTGTAATAGCTTATTGCAAAAACCACACCCGTGCACTACAGCTGTTTCAAGCTGTACAAGAGTCGCCCACACAAATGACGAACACTAGCTCCAAGTAACGTGTAAGGGCTTAACGTGGGTAATGTAGGACCTACCAAAACAGCCACACATTTTTCTCAGACATATCTTATCATATACACTTCCATCTGGCAAAAAAATCAAAACCGAAATGCGAGGAGTATGGACTTCATCTCACAGAAAACGCCGGCTGACGTGGATGTCGTTTGTACAGGAAGAACCCTACTTTTTGTCAACATTTGTGTAACTGTGATCAGCAACCTTGCGCCCTGGCACATGAAAAGGAAATCGATTTATTTTATTACAGTCGTGCCCATAGATCTGATGCAGGACGGATTTGCCTTGCAGAAATCTGGAGCATGTAGTGTTACAGTCTACGTGCCCTTTTAATATCTGCATTTCCAGTTGGCCTTAGAGAAACCGCAATGTGTGACTTTGGCCGATCTGGCAAAAGAGAACATTTGTGAGCCTTTTAAGGAGCCTTTTTAAGCTTTAGGGAGAGTCTGTTGACATTTAAGAAATGCAACAATTAAGTGCTCGCCTCTCTAAAGGAAAAAGCTGAAAATGAAATGGTTTCCGTCACATCTCTCGGTTCGTCACCCTTTCAAATTCTGCAAGTAGAATCAGTCAATGGGGACGGAAAACGGCGAGCATTTCCAAAACAAGTGTGCTTTAGGGTAGCAGTACCTGTAACTTCACTTGTTTTCTTAAAACAGCTTCAGATCGGGGCTACAGCGCAATCATGTTAAGAATATAACACCCGGTTCGTGGAAATAAACTTCACTTGTACGGATCACGCAGCTTTTGGTTTAGAAACCCTGACGGCGGCTCCACAATTGGCGTCATTCTGCACAAACCAGGAAGCTGCAGGTTTTTTCCCCCCACATTGAATTACTGGAGATCAAGCCGAACCAAGTAACACTAATACGAGACTTAAAAGGGCCATTCTGCCCTGATAAAGTGTACAGTCATTGCCGGCGTGATTTGCTGATACTTCGGCTGATCGCCGCAACTTTTTTGGGGGGGGGAGTGTGAAGTCTCCGCTGACAGCTTACCTTTATTTTGTGCTCGATTTAAACGACCTCCCTCCGCACCCCCGGAAGACCCAACTTAGATAAGCGACCGAATACAATGGATATACCACATCTCACAGAAGAAGAAATGACCGAAATAAAAAAGGAAGTGAGTATTTTATCCTGTTTTTGTTTGCCCTTTTGAACATGAGCTGATGTGGCCGGCTTTCGAGGTGCTTTCATACGGGGCTCAGATCTAGATTTCCGCGGGGAAGGTGCGGCGACTCTGTGCCAAATGGGGGCGAAGAAGGGCTCTCCCTATCGTTATGTTCAAGTTGTGTCTGACCCTAAGATCTTGTCCGATTTTGGGATAAGTAATTCACAAGATGGCCCTGGGATGAAAGGCAGTCGGCGTCCTGACTCTACTTAAGACTGCCATCTTTTTCCCCATTCCGAACAGGGCCACTTTGAGTCCCAGTCTCACTCCAGTGCACTTGCCGCCCCCAGATTATAGAAAGCACCATATATTCATGACGCTGAGTTCAGTGGCCAATACGTAAAATCTGATTTATTTTTTGTAGGTTTTGTCATTTATTTTAAGTTATGTCTCTTATGCCTTAAAGTAAAGTGATTCACGTTTTTCAGCCTGTCAATCAAACTAGGGGCGGGCTGACTACGTCACGATGACTCTTCCATTACTGCGAGCTGTTTCGAATCTGATATTAGTGTGATAATCTTTCACTTCCTAGCCTGGGATTATCGGTGGTTAGGCCTATACACCACCCCTTATTATCAGTCCGAGCGGTTTTAGCGCTTTGATAGTAGTCAGAGGCCCATAAACCAATTCACTTAACCATTATAATAACCACTATTTATTAAGAAAAACACAAGTATAAGTCGTGCCTCCCGTTTATTTTAATTATTTCCTTAACTAATTTCTATCCAAGGTAGGCCTATTCATTTGTTCCCAAACAATGCCATCCAGTTAGATCCAGTGATACAGAGCGAATGGGATGTAAGGTATGGCACGGCACGTCATCTCACTATTTAAGCGTCACAACTTTTTATCAATGAATTAAACGCAACATTTATACTCGGAGGCAGACGAAGGCGTTTTTGCGGATTTGGGGTACGTGGCCAGCAGGGGGAGACACTGACCTGAGTAATTTCCACTTACCTGAAGGTTCTTGGCCTTCCTGGCCCAAGGAGAGTCTCCACATGTCCAAAATACCAGAGACCAGCTACATCCCTCGTGTATGTGACAGAGACTAAAGATTAAAATTAAGGGAACTGTTTTGTGGGCACCCTCTGACATCGCCACCCTGTGCTTGGTCATTTTGGGCCTAATTTTAAGTCCCGGGTGTTAACCACGGGTAATTAGTGTGCCTTTGTTTATTCCCGTCTTTATATGTACGGTGTTTAAATGTCTTCAGCGCAGTCATGCAAGGGTGGTGTTTACTGCAGGAGGTAGAGTTTTCTTTTTTGAGATGGCATTCTATTCCGACTGAATCATAGCTTACCGCCCTAGAGGGCTTTTAAAGGAAAAGTCGTATATCCTTCACAGTCGGCCGAAAATACAGTAGCAGGGCTGCCTGAGTGGATCTGGGTCGATTTCACACTGCCTTTGTAAAACGCAACTCACCTGCAGCAGACACGATACAGGACTGATTGTAAATTAACTTTTCATCCTTTCATAGGTGAAGCAATCAAAATAATTCTATTACAGGAGCCGCTAAATGAGCATTGGGTGTTTAGAAAGGGCATTTGTCTGGAGTGTCTGGCTGCTAGTGTGGTCTCACCTGAGGAAGGGATTCGGGGGTTAGAGGACAGTTCAGCTAAGAACATATTTCTGGTAGCTGATGATCTGTTATGTTCAGCTGAGTCAGACCCCGAGCCAGAATCCATGAAAGACATAATGGAGGGAGGACGTCTGTACTGTTCACAAGGGTGAAATCACTGCATGAAAATAATTACTGCTGAAGTACCCACCCCTACACCCCCCACCCCAAGTTGTGGATAATGATGCGTTCCATTTACCTCGGAGGTCGGAACTCAGAACTGAGAATGATGTCATACACGACTTAAGTGTTCCAATACAGAAAGTCGGAAAGCCATTTAACAGTACCAGGGGCCCGTTTCAAAAACCCGGATAACTTGTGGGATTTAATTTACACTAGTTCAAATGGACTTTATCTTCGTTCACTTACATTTAGCCCAGACGACCTTAAATCCGACAAGATGTCTGCTTAAGCAATAATCCTGCTTAATGAATTGGGCCCCAGTCCAAGCTCGGTTAAATGTTAGCTATTGTTAGTGATATCAGTGGGTAACAACACATTACGTGGTATTTTGCATGGTTGAACAGTACTGTGTGTACAATCAATTTAATGAGACACAAATAAAACGCAAGTCGTATTCTTTAACTTCTGTTGATAAAAGGGTGCAGCCATCTTGAATTTTGAGTTTGGGGTTTTGTCGATTCTTCCAACTTCATGAGTTGGAATTCCAACTTCAGGGGGTGTTCCAGTTGGAATTTCTGACTAGGAACTTGGAATTTACGAGTTCAAATGGAACGCTGCATAATTGTAACCGTTCTGGTCCTCCAGGCGTTGGATAGACTTAGGCCATACCTCTGTGACAAGATCACAGCAGAACGGCACTTCGATTTCTTGCGTTCGAAGAAGATCCTGAACCGCGAGGACACCGAGGAGATCAGCTGGAAGGTGACGAGCCGCCAGAAGACGAGCAAGCTTCTGGACTACCTGGCCGAGAACCCCAAGGGTCTGGACACCCTCATTGAGTCCATCCAGAACACCCGGTGCTCGGACTTCATCATCACCAAGATCACCGACGAAGTCCAGAGGCTGAAGAACGAGAGGATTGAGTCCCTCAAAGGTGAGTCAGTGCAGCTCCCGGCAGGTCGCTGCGAGTCCTTGTGTTGAAGTTCGCAGTGACTGCACCCTGAAGTCTTCCATCCATGGCCCCCAGGCCCACACTGATCCCTCTTCTATCGCCCTCCACAGCGTCCTTCAGCGCCTTCTTGCCGACGAAATGCACAGGGGCAACGAACGACCTCTCCCGGACATTCTCCAGCGACTCCAATTTTGACAAGGGCTGCGTCTCCACCCTGCTGTATCACCCTGAGGGAGAGTGGAGTCCCTCAGTCTCTTCCACATCGGCCTCGCTGAATGTTCCTCACGGGTCGGCCTCAGAGGCCGCACCCCTGTGCAGCAGCATCATCCGTTCGGCCGCATCCGGCCTTCCGAGGCCCGGCGATGATGGGGCCCCCCCGCTACCCCCCGAGCTGCAGGCGGAGGCCGAGGGAGCCTGTGGAAGCACGACAGGCAGTGACTCCGCCTTCCAGCCCTTGCGCTCACGCTGCATCTCGCAGCCCTGCCAGAATGCCCCCCTCCAGAGCTCCCGGTGAGGCCCCCCCATAAGCTAGCACCCACCTCCCCAGGGATCAGCCCACTGTGTAACCTCATTGACAGAGGTGGAAAATTCAACTCCAGTAGCTACAAATCCAGATCAAGGTTTTGTTTCAACCAACTAGTCGAGTACTCAGTGACTGTGACTCTTTATGCTCAACTGGGCGATTCATTTGTAGTTACTGGACCTGAATTTTCCACCTCTGCTCACAGGTGCTGTGCACTTTTCCATGTCCCGCTGTCGCTTCCTTGTTTCCTGCATTTTATGTCTTGGACCCCATTACCAAGGTTTGGCCTCAGTGGAAAAGGGACCTTTTTAACTGAACAGTGTGTCAACATGGCATGGACATTATACCCTTAGTATGCACTGCATATATAAACATAGCCTCCTGGTTATTTGAACATGTAGCATGTTATGGATTTCCATATTGTCTTATAATGGCTTTTGTTCGACCTCGACCAGGATGCAGTACACACTGTTCACGCTACAGTAAAGAATTTCTGATATCTGTACCGACGATTAACAGTATGTTTTTTTTTTTTTATGTTTTGCTCCAGTTTGAAATGTAACACAGTAGCCTTTTGTATAATACAGAAAATGTAATTCACTTCTTAAATTTCCATAAATAGGGGAAATGCATTGGTTCTTACTTCGAACTGCTTGATTTTTTAGTATTGTACATAAAACTAATATTTACCACATTATCAGCAACTCGATAGTAATCAACGTGGTATTTTTAGCTAATAGGGCAATCTGTGAATGATATAATTTTTACATATGTATTTCCATTATCTAGGCCACCAAGTACAACTTTAGCATTTAACTCAGTTTTATTTACATATTAACTGTGGTGTTCCTGCTTTTTCAGCGCAAACCTTGGTAATGAATTCATTTGGTTAGTTGAATGGTCTGAACCAAATCCTGAGAATTTTTTGGCTATTTATCGGGGCGAGATGGTGTGATTGTAGGGTCTTTGTGGGTGACCACATTCGCCAAAGAGGTAGGCCACGAAAACATAGCAGGGAGATTGTAATTATATTTAAAAATGGACATTTTTATAGTGCAAATTTTTATTATGCATGGTGCATTATTACAGTTAGGTTTTGTGGTGGGTAGATAGTAGATTGTGTTGTAGAATATGCCGGAAAACCCGAACTTGGGACTCAGGCTGTCATTACCGGCAGAAAAGCTCCCCAGCTAATTCCCAACTCTGCTCCTCCACGGAAAGGGCCGTGTCTCACTGACGTGGAGGTGGGACTCGACCTCACCGAAGACCTTGCTGACAAAGATCCCTGAAATGTCTGCAGATTGGGCTGATTGTAGTCCCAGTCACTGATGCTTTTGGGGGGTTGTTTCAGACGGGGACGGCCTTGTCTGGGCAGCATACCTACAGGTTCACCTTGTTTGTGGTGTAATTACCTGTGGGGAATTCCTGGTATTTACCTGAATTATTTTTATTTTATTTTGTTGGTGTCGTCAACAGCAATAAGACGCTTGCCGTGTCTGTCAGGTGACTATCTGCTCTGTCTTCCCTCTTATTGTCTGGTCTTCTCAGTGTCCTCTCTTTGACTTTCATTCCCATGCTTACCATTGCGTTGGAGTTTGAAAGGCCCAAGACAGCCTTGAGTGTCGTTGAGTGGGTTTGATGAAGCACTACCTTTTGAATTGTGATTTTGATGATGTTATGACAGTAACGGCGGGACGTGAGATGGCAAGCCTTTGTCTGTTTTTACAGTATTTTAAAAAAAAAAAAAAGAGAGATTTTCTCAGTTTCTTTTCAAAGTGCTAAAATGTGTTTGTTGCCAAGGTTTCCGTATTTTAAAGGTGCTAGCCAGCTTGTCCCTGCGCTTTTCTGATAATTGTACCACCTGCGATTTATTGCAGCTGTCATTGCCGTGTCTGAATAAAATGCATTCAAAAGGAAAATGGATTTAGGTTCTCTAATGTACCGTCTGTAACATGGAAACCAAATTGAATCACACAGTTTTGAAATACGAATCCCGCTGCCAGAGATATTGTGCATTTAAGTTTCAAGAATTAAATGTCCTCCTGCCTGGTTAGTTTGATGGGTAGTTTGGGGTTAGTATTGGGTGATAGGTCACCCCCTTTGGGGAGGTAACAAATATGCTGGCTAATTACTCTGTTTTTGATTATATCGCTGGTTAAAGGTCACAAAAAGGTCACATACCGGCGCTCGAGACATACCTGTGTGACCTCAGTTGGTCACGACGTCTTAAAAATAGGATGGTTGTCTCCCAAGGACGTGACCATCGAGCTGAGATGTGCAGAAGTTCCTCCTCCCCCCTTGCATATACGTTCCCTCTATATGGGTGTAAGTCTCGGGCCATGTTACGTCATCGTGCCTCGTGAAATGCAATACATTTTCATCCTTTAATATCACTCTAGGCCTGATTTGATATATAATCACTGTAGCAAGGAGCCTTGTAATTTAACGCTGCACAGCGGAAATTAGTCGGTATGACGCTTAAAAGCTCACAGACAGGAGAGGTAGGCAGTGGGCACGAGTACTTTGAGGTTTGACTTTTACAACGCGTCCCTTATCCGGATTGATGTCCGTTCATTAGAGGTGTCGGGGGGGGGGACTCTGGGCTGTCAGGAATGCTTGGTTTTCGGGGGGTGTTTGCAGAATGTTTGCAGGTGCCTGTGGGGACAAATTCTCAGAGGGCAAATCTTTGAAAGGCCAGAACGTCGTCTTTTTCACCTCTTCGTATCCGATCAGAGTTTTAGAGTAAAGGTGACTTACCCAAGAAAATAAAACCCTTTGAATTAATTCAGATTGATCAGCCCTCAGTTTTCAGAGCTGTCACTTAAAACAAGGAGCCATTTTAAGCAGATTTTGTTGCTGTACTGAGAAGAATATTTCTAATATAAAATTGTGTGGTATGTGTAATGTGCTTTATGTGATAAAATCCTGTGAGAAAAGATTAGGAATGAAATGAAAAATAATCTGTTCATTTGAGGCTATTGGAGTGGATCCCACATGGAGGGGAATGAAGAAGCTGAACACAGCACATTTGTCCTCACTGCCCATCAAGTGACCGGGGCTGTTTGAACACAGGCCAAGCAAACAGATGTTCTGATTTAACATCACAATGGGTGAAGCAACTGGTGGGTAGTGGGGGCTGCCTTTTATGCCACAGAGCTGCAGAAATGCTGGATGGGTGGAGCATTGTCACATGGACGAGATATGCTCCCCTCAGCCATGCCAGCGAAAGAACTGGAATCACCGCTGACACCCAAGCCGGGGGTAATTAAACAGGGGACCACTGAAACGCCACAGATGTGTGGGTCACGGTATTTGATTTGTTTTGAGTTTGTCAATCCATACTTTCAAAAGGACCTGGCCAAAAAAACGAGAAAATAAACCGATTTTAAAAATTTAATAAAACTCTGTTTGTTTTTAGAACCACGTGAGGATCAAACAAAGCACAGAGGTCTGAACAACCATTAAATAATTCAAAACACAGTTACTGTTGTTGATGTAGTCAAGTTGACCTTATAATAGAATGAGATAAACATATCCATACAAATTGAGATGACTGCAAAGATTTGGCTGTTTAGTCAAGAACATTTCAGTAAAGTTTGTATCTGGCCAACTAAACATCATGACTTCTTCTAAAAATAAAGCACGGTACCCAGTTATCAGAAATGGCCTGAAACCTCACACTTATTTACACTAAGGATTGAAAACGCGTTGACCACGCCTTAAGTATATTATTTGAGGACTATATTGTCTAGCTTCTGCGAAGTAAGATTTAGAGTGATCCAGAATTGCGTTTGTTTTTTATTCTTAGAAGTAAGATTTTCTGCCAAGTATTGTTTTTGTGAGTTTTCCGTTTTTATTTTCATCCCACAAAACTCAAAACCCAAGAACTATAAATAACAGAGGAAAAACACTTTTGCGGTTATACAAAATGGTTAGGCAAAGAGAAGAGATGGAGTCCTGCCAGGCGCTTTCAACTTGACAAGGGGGAGCATCTTGAGCGCCTTTGACTGATTATCTTCAATACCGAGACACGCCGTTTCTTGCTGAGTTCACGCTGCCGCAGTTTCACTTTCACGCCGGACGGCTCCTGCGCAGACGCGGCGCAGACGCTGCGCAGTTTAAATGCCCGTAGACGCGCTCATTGTCTCCGCAGGCAGAGACGCGCTCGAGGGCTGCGCAGGTCGCCAGAGCGAACACCGCGACCAAGCAGTGACAAGCGGAATGGCGCAGCCCTCGGAGTCCTGGACGTTTTTCAAGCGGAGAAAGGGAAGCACAAGTCGCCCGCAACTCGCCAAATAATAAACGCTGAAGCTGGAGGTATAAAGGAGCGATAGGAATGGCCGATCCTCTGCGGAGGACAATACTGGCAAAACTTCGGGGGAAGAAATCCAGGAAAGCGGCCGCAGTCGGGGGCTTCGGCGTCGCAACTTTTGTGGATAACCGAGAAGGTAAAGACGGAGTTTTGTGCGGTGTGGATGAGCAAACACCGGACAAAATTATCACTGAATTAAATGATTTGCCAGACATCATGAGAGATAAAGAGGGCTGCCTTAACATAGCGTTTGAAAGCGGGGCAGTGAGATCGAATTGCGAAAACGCCGTGGTTAAAAATGTGTCGCCCCGGGACGATACTTGCGTGCATTTTAACGTAGGATCGGGCGATTATGCTTGGTGGGGTGTGGACTTAAATCATACGGGTCGAGTTCATAAGAGACGCCTGGGGGTCTCTGATCAGAACGAAATGCAGACTCGGGCGAGCCACGGAAACCGGATTAACTATTTTAATGAGCTGGAGTTAGACCTCTCCAAAGATGCATGCACTGAGTCGTCCGAGATGATGCGGGAAAACAGCCATCCACTTTATCCGAGCGGACCTCCAGGACCAATACTAGATTTAGACGGGGTAGGATTGTGTAGGGAGTTAACTCCGGTCCAAACGACCTATCACTATGTTGAAATGAGTGGAAACGGTGTACAAGGTAAAGAGATCGGGGTAGGTGTGCATCAGTGCGGGGAGCATCAGGGGAATCCAGTGGCTTCAAATGCTGAAAAAGATGCCGATTTACTTTGTAATCTCCCTCGAATGCCCTACACTGATATTGCTATAAATGGGGCACAAATATATCAGTTTCTTGCTGTCGGTACGGTAGCTGAGAACCACCAAGTCAGTAATAATCCCTCGGGAGACTACAGAGTGAGAAGTTTTCAGAATACAAGTCTCTTTCCAACCGATTTGGTTGTAAGCGATAAAAATGTGGGCACCGAGGCAGAAATGCAGTGGCAAAATTTGGTCGGCAGTGATGATGGGGATTACTACGACAACGACAATCTCCCGTTTTATAATCCACTATTATGCGCAGCTTCCGGGCCAAATTCAGACCAAGTCGAGATGAATCGGAAACAAGATGAAACAGACGGGTTTAAGGTGTATGAAAGCTACATTGTAAGGACCCAGTTTAAGGAAGCTTGTGTTCTGCTTATAAGTGCGATGCAAGGCATTAATTTGGATAATGAAGTTGCTGTCAATGGACTTGGATGCCATGTAAATCTTACTAGCTGTAATTCCCAGGAGAGTCTCTGCTCAGAAGTATCTTCTAAAGTGGTAGATTGTGATGCATTCTCCTCTGGAGAGGCTGTTCCCCCTGAGTCCCATTCTGTACGCTTTCACGATGGTGAAAACGACAACTTGTGTCTCAGAAGGTCCTTAGCCAGCAAGAGCTTTGAAGTCTTGCCCACTGAGAATCCTCCACCTTTGAGGAGGTCCGTAAGTGATGGAGTGATCGAGTACCACCAAAATCAATATTGCCGCCTTGAACGCAAAGTCCCTTTAGCCCTCATGAGAGAGAATGACTGGGGGATGTCTAGTGGCCTTGTCAGCCTCGCGAATCAGGTTCCATGTGATGGCGAAGGTGGTGACAGTCTTCTCTTGGAGATGGGGGATAATTGCCCATTGAATGAAACCAGTGGACCAGTGAACAGTGCAAAAAGCCAGGGCACAGAGCACGGCTTATTGACCACCCAAGATGTCTTGAAACCCAACGGGGTCACTGTCAACAAGATTCAGGAATGGATGCAGAAGGGACGCATGCTCTCCTCTGAGATGAAGCACCGCATCACTGGTTCTGCTCTCCACGAGGCCTGCGGTGACTCTCCCCCACAGCGTTCTTGCCCCCGTTTCTTGAACAGGGCAAAAGCGGCGCCCCGGGTGACCGGATCTCAGAAATGCAGAACCGTGGCTCGCGGCCAGGGAACCAAACAGCCAGGTAGGCAAGTTGCCAAGCGTGTTCGATGGGTGCGCTCTCACCCGGGCTCCCTAGTGTTCTTCTCTTCAAAGGTCCAGCCCGTCGCTCTTCTGGATGTGGACACGGGTGGAGGGATGACCTTCCTGTGCTTTCTTTCTCTGGACTGGTGGTTGGGGTTCACTCTCTTCTAACTAACATAAGCTAATCTCACAAACTACTAATGGGTTTCCAAGTTTCAGTGCTGGTGTTTAACTATTTTAAGGGTTACCTTACCAGTTATTTCTCTTGGGAGTGGGGGGTGTTTCTTACTGCTGTGACACAGGACACAAGTGTTTAATATATGCAATAAGGAGTTTTTTGAGTCCAGTCAAATGTTTAAGCTCTAGAGAGGAGGAAAGTAGTCAATACTGTAGTAATGGTATAAACATTTCTAGTAGGTCGTGAAACTCAGAAAGTGTGTGTGTGTGTGTGTGTGTGTGTGTGTGTGTGTGTGTGGAAGGAGCATCTTCTGACCTGATTAGTTCCCCCAGCTTTGTGAACATTCGCTGCTGCTGTTGCCCTGTGTGTCTCAGTTATATGAATGATTGCTCATTGGGTTGCTAACTAGGGACCTAGTTATTTGTTTAAATAATTGTTTATGTGTGTATATCGTCATTTAAAGGCATGATGGTTTGTTT